TTTATTTTGAATCTATCGATTTTAAATACTAAAAACACTAATATGTAACACATGTGTATACGCATATATACAACATAATTTTCTTTGTATCAATGATATCAATTAATTTAACTACGTTTTCAATTAATTAGTTAGAATATTGAACTGTTGAAACGATAAATCGATCGTATTATTTCATCGCTTTCAAATCATCGTCGTCATCTCTCATCAACCATCAAATAACCAATCTACCCCCTTCTTTCTTTTCGTAGTCGTTGACTATTGCACTATTCTTAATCGGATGAAATAATAATAAATATCGATAAACGATAAAAAGATACTCCTAATAATCTTACTCGTCGTTTTCTATTAAATATAATATGATATCATCCTGTTCATTGATTACAAGGAATAGAGAATTCTTCTTTTAGAATTTCCCCTACCCTCCCTATTTCATATTTTTGTTTTATTTTTGCACTGATAACATTCGAATTAGGGGTAGGAACTATTGTTTTTTTTTTGTAATGAATTATAAATAATTATACTCTCAGTAAGTACATTTAATTGTGATAATAATCGTAGACAAATGGTGTGTATCTTGTTTGTTAAATAGGGTTACAACAATTTACATTTTCATTTGTTCATTAATTTGATTTCATTTGGTTTTGTTTTTGTTTCATTTAATTTTTAAACAATGTGTTATTGGATAATTACAAGTTCTAAGTTTATTTGTGCTTTTTTTCTTCTTTTTTTTCTTGTAATTTCTTCATTAATTTTATTTCACTTGGTTTCTTTTTTTTTTGGATTTCATTTAATTTCATTTATATTTTATTTTATTTAATTTAATTTCTTCTTCCCTTTTAATTTTTTGTTTTGTTTTTCATTTTATTTTTATTACGTCCAAGAGTGTTTCATGTTTCATTATTCATCGAGATAATCCCTTCTTTAATTCATACATTGTTTGCGTTTGAAAGCCGCATCGAATGAATAACTCTTTCAACGCTTCGTCGAGCACTCCGTGTTCATAATATTGATCGAGAATATATACCATGATACCGTATCTTCTTCCCGTTCTTTATCAAATTGTTTTCTAATCAAATCACACGTTTAATTGTAAACTCGATCTGGGACATCGATTTTGATCGATTAATTTTTTAATACCTTTTCTTTATTTCTTTCTTTCTTTTTCAAATCTCTCGCGTAAAATATTTATTTCACGTTACTTGTATTAATTGAACGATTACGGGGCTGATGGGGGAGAAAAGACAAATGATAATTATTGTTTTTCTCATTGTTATTGTATCTCATTTACCGTACACCTTTTATTGCAGTCTAATTTTTGTTGTTGTTGTTCTTTTTCTTTTGTTGTTATTTTTCTTTTTGTTAATTCTTCGTACGTGTTACAAATATCAAAAATACTTTCCCCGAATTTTCCGTGCTTGCATACGTGATTTAACGGATCGATTACCTATCATGCATAATTGCATGATTGGTGAATTGCATTCCACGTCAGAATGCCGTTTGTTAAATCCCTAATGAGATAATTCAAAAAAAAAAACATTTAAAAAAATCATCCGGTTTTAATTCTTTTTTTTTTGCATATTAAAAAAAAATAATTATAAGAAATAATATATTTTTATTTCTTTTTTTTTTGCATATTAAAAAAAAATAATTATAAGAAATAATATATTTTTATTTTCCGTGTCCCTGTTCTGTTTTTCCCACACACACACACACACATCTGTTCCCCTACCTTTTGTTCGNAAAAAAAAAAAAAAAAAAAAAAACAAATAAAATGTATTAGAAATGATTCGAAGCTAATAATGATACGAATGAATTAATTTATGTCGAAAAAAAAGTTCAATGTGATTATTTAATAATTCATTTTATACGTCAAAATAATACATCATACGATAATATCAAAGTTTTGATGAACAATATTGATAATAAATCTGATACAATCATTTTCTTATTATCATCGTCATCGCGAACGTAAGACTTTTGTTTGTTCTCCCATCTGTGTCTTGCATACAAATGCATTAAAAAAAAATAAAAAAAAAAAAATAAAATAAAATAATTCATTTCTTCTTCGTTGCAGAAATTACAGGTGTAGGCAATCATTTGATTTAGGGTTAAGTGTTAATTCACAAATTTGCTAATTTATTTTTGATTGAGTTTTGAAATAAAAAAAAAAGATAAAATTGAGAGAGAGAAAGAGAGAAAGAGAAAGAGAGAGAGAGAGAGTAGTGTCTCGTCGATAATCGTCGTAACGAACGCAAGGACTTCTTCGTTCACGGTGTGTCATAAATGACCGATGACAGATTCCCCGAAGCCATTTCGTCGTGCATACAAAATTAAGTTGGTCGGCGGTACATCAATAAAAAGTGACCGGCCACGAATAAAAGAGCGCGGATACCGTCGATCGTTCGTTCATTCGGGTCCCCGGTCGGTACCTTCGGAAATACGTGATCGGTAATCCCTTTCGTTATAATCTTTTGTAAGTTTCGAATTTTCAATCATTCATATACTTATATATTTCTTTTCGATCATTCTCTTTAAGTTCAGCCAAATTTAACAAGTTTTGAAGTGAAAACCTTCTTTAGAAGAATCAGGGTGATTTGAAAATTGTAAAACGGAAGAACGTGAAACCGATGAAACAAAAATAATTAATCAAATTTAATATATAATTTAATTCTATATATTTTATTTTATATATATAATTTCTATATAATTTCATATTAATTAATTAAATTCTATATATAAAAATTCAGTGTGTAACAATATGTTTGTTCACTAATAATTTCTAAACAACTCAACTTATCTTAATGAAATTTATTTTATTTCACGTGATTTTTTCCAACTTAGCACATAGCACAATTTTTATCGCGAATTTTTTTCTTTTTTTTTTAATTATTTTTGATTACTAATTTAAAGATTTTTATTTAGAGATTATCTAGGTTCTGTAAGGTTCTTTCAATAGATGGTGCTGTATTACAATTCAATTATTTCGATATATTCACGTCTCGAAGCTTGCTTTTCTTTGAAGGTTTCACTTCTACCGCGTGTGATCTGCACATATCTGTATTTTACTTTACAATTTATTTTGCTAGCACGTTTCAATTTGATGATTTCAATGAATATTATATATAATATATGATACTCAACATAGTACTTAATTTAGTTTGAAATATCAATTATTATACATTTTAACATGCACATTATTTTTCAAATAAATCATCACAAATCTTTCTACCTGACCAATCTAATAATTCAAAAACCTACTTATGTTTGGTAGTTTATAAATAATAATAAATATATTTATTATAAATATTAAACATGTTAAATATATTTTCATTGAAAATAATAATTATCTTCGAATATTCCAATCGTTAAATCTAAATTTATGATCATTACAAATTGCCACAAATTTTTCAAATAATCTTCTATGTAAACTAATTAACTGATTGTTTAAAGATATTATTTAATTTTATAAGATGACTCGATTATTCGTAGTTTATCCAATTATCAACATTTTGATATTTCAATGAATCTCTTTAAGTATCATATTATTATATATATACTTAATTACGTCCAATTAGGTTGCATATTTGAACAGGATCGATGAAAAATTGAAGAGAAGTGAGAAGGGGAAGGTGGTTAAGAAGAGAACCGAAGTTCGAGATTTGGGTCACGGTTCTATTCGAGTAAACGAATGATTTTTTTATCAAGATAAAGAGAGAAACTCGTCTTGTTCTAACTTGATATGACTTCTCTCTCTCTCTCTTTCTTTCTATTCAAGACATTTCACTCAATAATCCGTTCACGACAATATCATCCAGCATTAAATTTGGTTTATTCCCGTTGATTATCAACGAGAGTTTTGCGAATAAATCCCCTACCCCAGCCCACCTTCCATCGCCATTCGATTCGTGGAAAAAAATTACCGCGTATTTTTATTCCTTAATAGTTATATTTTTAAATGTGACCATTGAAAAATAATATATATATATATATGTATGTATGTATACGTGTATGTAAATTAAATGAACGAACTTTATTATTACTCGAAACTTTCTTATTTAAATTATCGGTAGGTTGGTGAGAGGAAAAGCAGGGGTGGGAGGAGGGTTAACGGTAAAAACGGATAGATAAAATCTCGGTTGCGGGAAATAAATTTGAAGAAGGTGGTTTTTTTTTTTTTTAAGTGGAATACGAGATGACGATGGTGATCGAACAGAAAAAGAGGATTGGAACCGTCAATGGTGGATAGGGGAATTAAGGGGGGTAAGATAAAGGGGGGAAAAAGACATGCTCCTCCTCCTCGATCTCCTCCTCTTCCTCTTCCTTCCCTCATCACGTGTTTGATTTCGCGAAATGCGAGAAATCGCATCGGATTAACGAGCGTTTACGAATTCCATGAACGTTCCCTTCTACGATGCGGTACCATACGATCGAATCGGCCCGGCAAAGGAACAAGATACACATGGTTGTGTGCATAAATTATTTTATCGAGAAGCAGACACTCTTATATAAAGCTTGCGGGGTCGCGTATATACCTAAATACATACGCTCACGCGTGTGATAATACGGTACTCGATGAATACCTGGCCGAATTTCAAATGACATTCCACGAAAAACTAACCAGAATTACTTGGTTTCTTTTTAATTTWATTTTATTTTATTTTTTTTTTTGTATAATTTTTTATTATCGAATTCTTAGAACACATTTTAAACAGCATTTAGAATAGGTTTTATTATATATTTCTTTTCTACGCGAGATACCTAATTATTAACACAATTTTCACGATTAATTATTTCTCGTCATTATCATTTTTATTTTACTTTATTTTATTTTGATTTAATTAATAAATTAATTTCTAATTAAATTAATATGTTAAGATTGAAAAAAACAAAAGGTTTTCTCGTAAAAATTTGCAATCATGTTTCATTGATATATCGGTCAGTTTGAAATACGTGTACGGTGTGCAAAGTATGTTATTAAAATATATAATAAAACTCACCTAATCTAGATTTAGATAGATCATGAACAGGAGACGGTGGTGAATCTATGCTACCATCGTCATCGCTGTCCGTGAAACTGGTTGATCCACGTTGATTGATAGATCGATGAAATGTATTTGGATATGCGACACCCTGAAGATGATTATTCGAACCACCAACCAAATGTTGAGTTAATCGATTTTGATGCAAATCCTGATGAGATGGATAATTACTAACCGTGGAATGTGGTGGTAACATTGGGACACCGGAAGCTGTGCCGCCGCCACCACCACCACCGCCATACATTCGCATGGGTAGCCAAGCACCGTATAAACTCAACGGTACACCGAAACCTAAAAATGCAACGATTCATTTCCCCCATTTTTTTCAACGTTTCCTTGCGATACTTTTTCATTTGAAAATTAATTACTACACGTTGACTGAAACACACCCCCCATCTTCCAAAAAAAAAAAACCAAAAGTTATACTATGTTTAGCTATAGGGGTGAAAGGGGGAGTTTAGTTGGGTTAGAGGTAGTCAGAATTTTAAAAAATAATTTGGAAAATTTTGATCATTGTTAGATTACTGGTTTAACAGTCAACGGTGTAATTAAAGAAAAATATAAACAACAAAATTATGATCGACTATCAAATCAACCAATGAACCAACCAACTAACCAACCTGATGGCAATGCAGTAGCAGCAGCAGCCGTCGCAAGATAATGACGTTGATAAAGATATTCCCTTTCCCTTTCCCTTTCACTGTCCTCATCGTTAACATTAATTTTATCATCTATCTTCGACATACCAATATCACCCGCACAATTTCCCCTTGCACTCGCGCAACTTCCTATAAGACTTTCTATGGTAAACGGTTTTGGCGTTGGACGTCGTGCGATTTTTGACTCGGCAATCGACGTTTCCAATTCGTCGCTGGCCGAACCAACGTCCAATTCGGTTTCTTCAATATTCGTATCTACGTCCATTGCTACGTTCGTTATTTTCTTTTTTTCTTTATCAAACAAATCTCATTTGTAATTTTAAATAATTCTCAAATAATTTTCATTTTGCCTTCTTGAATTATTGATAATCCATTAAATGTTTTCTCCATTGAACTTTGTTTGATTTAATCGTTAATTATATACTTTCAAACACAATTTATAAATCATGTATTATTTTAGCACGGATTATTTTTGTTTTGTTTAAAATGAAACAAAACTAAAACACAACATAAACTTTGACTCAACTTTGTCCATTGTTCTATAATTAATAATATCATTACACACGTTTATTCGTCATTCGATTTTTAATATCACATGGATCCAATTTATACACACAGTTAGAAAAAAAGAGACAGAGAAAGACATCACCAGTCCACGAGAATATTGAACGGTAAATGATAGAAGTATAACATATACATATACACATACATATACATATATATATCTATAGATAATGATAGAAGCAAAAGAGGTAGAGGTATCGAACATCGACCTTATCGAGCACGAGTCGACGGGTGACTGGCGAAGACTCGTCGGGCGCATTTTAATTCGTCTCTCCTCCCCTTTCTCCCTTCCCAACCCCTCGTTGCACTCCTCCCCTCGCGTGTATATGTATGTGTGTGTGTGTCGTTGTCCTCGTTGTCGTCGTCTTCGTCGTGTCGGTTGTCCTAACTTCTCATAAATGTCCCTGGGTTTCAACCAGCAGCAACAGCAGCAGCAGCAGCAGCAAATACTCACGTTAGTGGTGGTTGTGAAGGTGGTGGTGGTGGGTCGTGGCGTTTATTCGAGTTATTCCATTCTCGTTCAACCATTGGTTGATGCTACAGCCAACGAGGTTGTTTGGACGCCGCCTATTCGTGCCTATCCGCCATCTTGCTACTCTCTCACACTTTTCACGATCCTCTTCTACAGAATAGCTTTACGTCTGAAAATCTACCTCTTCTTCTAGGTAAATTCGATCCCCGTTAGTATGAGGGGAAAGGGAAAAAGGGGTAGAGTTTCGTATACTATTTCTAATTCGACAATGTTCGATTGGTTTCATTGTATTTGTGGGTTCTGTTTTTGTTCTATTTTTTGTTTTTGTTTTAATAGCTAATCTTTCTTCAATGGTTTTTATTTTCTCTTATTGTTCATCTTTTTCCTCATATTAATAAGCATTTTTCGTTAGACGTAGATAACTAATAGGAAACACGTTTAAGATCTTATTCTAGTATGGTATATAAAAATATAACAGGAGGATTTGGTGGGCTAACGTTGTTGGTGGGCTAACATTCAAGTGTGTGTGTGTGTGCTAACGCAACGTCGTCGTGGTTCGTTAACGATGATACTATCTCATACGTTTACCGACATTACTCATCTTCTACTACTAACTCTCTTCATACATTTATTATATTATTTACTTGTAGATAAATCTAATATACTTTTTTACATATTAATTATATACTTTCAAATTGTAATGTATGAAATTTATTTTATATTTCTTTTATCTTTTGGTCTATTAAGAAATGTTTAACAGGTTCATTAATAACATTTAAAAAAAAAAAGTGAAAAATATACTATAATACAGTGTCTTCAAGCTCGTTAGGTAAATTTTCAAGCCGAGTAATCGTTACATCAAGCTAATGGCAACGTTATTTCGATGCTCGTTAACGTGACGTGACTCTAATTGGGCTTAACCGAATCTAAAGTTAAACGAACACGTCGTACGAAGAAGAGGGAGTGTGAAAGAGAGAGAAAGGAGACATCAAGTTGAGAATTTTCGTGCTTAAACGTCATCAACGTGTCTTTCTCTTTTTCTAATCTGACCAACTAAATAAAACGTTAAATTATCGAGAAGATAAAAATATTATTTTATTTGAAAAATTATTCTCTATGTAATATTGTTATTTACGAAATAGTGGTACCAAATGTAATTAATAAAATCGTATAATTGATTGGTCGAATAAAAAAAATCTTGATAACAGATGAACACACTTGTTAAAGTGAACGAATCGAATTAAAATAAAATTGCAAGAATAAAAAAATATTACAAAACATATCAAATTGTTCTCTCAGAGTCCTTTCATTTTTATTCGTTTACCAAAATTCAAAATACTTAGGAATATAAGAGTTAAAGGTATACACACGACTTCCGCGTACTGCGGATACTGGTTTTACGAACTGTTACCAAAGAAAATAGGTTTTAGTGTGCGTTACAAATGTGCCTACTTTTGACTAAAGTAAGGAACTGAAAAAAAAAAAAAAAACACTTTGAGTTAAAATAAAAAAATCTCAATCTTCGTTGAGGATGTAAACGGAAATGAAAATTATTCGTCGAGTGCAAACCGAGCGTTTCCTACTTATGGTCAAACTACCAGTTAACGCATTGTAAAGTACCAACATACGTAAATAACCAACCAAAAAGTTGAGATTCGCCGAAAACTAGACCGAAACGGAGATTCGTTTGCGTTTGTTCATCTAACCGTAACATCCCTTCTCTCTTTCTCTTTCTCTCTCACCCAGCAAGAATCGAGATTTCTACACAGAGAAGATCCTATAATACTATTTTTAGATACATCCTTCCACTTTCTTACTTATCTTTTTTTTTCTTTTTTTCATCCCCCGTGTCTACACTACTTGTACGAAAAAGACCCTTATGATTTACGTTTCGTGGCAATGCGACATCTTCGCATGTTTTATTCTAGTTTTCTTACTGCATCCATAATATCATAGTATAATATAATCGATCATTCAACGATTTATATTTTGGCGTCATACCAAATTCTTATTTTAACATATTTTCTATCATTACCACCCTTCCCCCCCCATCTACTTCCTAGAAACTTAGTTTCATCAATTAAATAATAATAAATATCGTTTAAATAAATATCTTCATTTTCATATTCATAATAAATGTTATACATTGAAACATCGAAACATCTGTTGTCGCATTTAAAATCCAATCGATTTGAAACAGAAACAGAAAAAAAGAGTAAACATTCCTAGAAATTGAAATTTATATTAACAAATTATTCAATAAATACGCGAAATTTCTATATGTATGTGTATATATATTTTCCTTTCTCCTCCTTCTCCTATGTGCAAAAAACTTAATTATAATTTAATATTAAATTATGATACAAATAAAAATAATAAAAACTTAACTCTTAACGCTACGTAGCATGTTTTATACATTTTATGTTTTTAGCATGAATATTTTTAAGATGCTACAGTATCTACGGTGTTGACTATTATTGTTAATTATCTGTAGTTTAAAACGTGCTCATGTATTATTTAAAAAAAAGCACAGAAAAAATTAAAAAAAAAAAAAAATTTTTAAATTCGATAAGTATTTAAATATTTAAAGAATAATACTTGTCATAATTAATAATTACAAGCAGTGGTACAAAAATATGCGGGAGCGTTAAAGGTTTAAATTTTATTATTAATTTAAAAAAAGATATTTATACAAGATATTATAAGAGAGACCTATTTTGATTTTTAAAAGGGTTTTTGACTAATCGATGATCATTCCTCATAACTTAAATCGTACACGGATATCATCTACCTACCACCGTGGTACGTACGAATACTCAGACGGCTTTAAATCTTACTTCCCCTTTCCCCTTTCTCCCCCATTCCTCTCTTTCTCTTTCTCTAGGTCTGTCTTGAACTAAGTAAGTAAGTAAGTAAGTAAGTAAGTAAGTAAGTAAGCTGGCTAAAATCCGCTTCTTTGTTTTTCGCGTCGGAGGCGTCCTTGCGCGACCCGCAACGTGCGTCGTCGTTACGCACGTGTGAACGGAAACGGTCTACTCTTAAACAGCTCGAGTCACCAAAAAGCCCTCGCGATATGCTCAAAACGTTCAACGTCTTTTTTTTTTATCTTCTTCCTTTTCTTTTTTTATTTTTTTTTTTTGTGTCGTGTCGTGTCGAGGAACATCTTTTAATTGCCTACTAGTATTTCGTCGACTAAGAAACGCGTTATATATTTATATATTATATATATCTAGGGCATTCAACGTCAAATCGATCACGTTTGATACCGATCCCTTCCGATTTAGTGAAACTTTTTAATCATTTTTAAATTTTTTTCTCGTACGATAGAAATAAGCAAAATAAAATCGCATCCTTTAGAGATGCCTGTTATAAAAATTATAAAAATAAAAAAAAATAAAACAAGTAGATCCATAAAAGTCTTAAACATGAAACAGATATGTTAAATAAATTAAACATTTAGTTGAAAAGCATATTTAAAATCTATGTAAACCTGTGCAAATATACAATGTTATATTTATTATGGACTTTTAAATATATATATATATTTCATATTTAGTGAGAAAATATGTGTGTGCCTTCAGAAATGCCGTTATACATATATTGAAAAATGAAACAATTTTACGAACTAAAATAGAAAACAATCTCAAAGATTTGTTGTTAAATCCAACGATGATCACCTGTAACAAAAAAAAAAACCATATTAATTATAGAATCAAGTGAAATACAATAGCCTGACATATGAATCGTCGAATTCGCAGATGCACTTTTCAAATTGAATTCCCTTTTTACTTTTTATCAAAATTCTATTTAAAGTTGCAATAAAATTGAATTTAAACGCGTGATTTAACATTTACAAAAAATAAAAAAATAAAATCAATTGATTATTATGAAATACTTTTAAACTGCATTATATAGAAAAGAAAAAAATTACAAATTTAATGAAATACGATCACAGTAAAATATTTTAAAGACAAGACAAGACAAGGCAAGAAAAGAAAAGAGAAATTATTTAAATATTTAATGAACGTTAATTAAGTTTCAAAATTTAATAGTAAGGAAATTTTTAATGTTGTTGACTCTAACTAACTAAACACATATGCATCTTTTTGACGATATAGACACGAATTTAGTGTCCCAAGGAGATGGAATGATCCGTCATCCCCAATTATAACTAGAAATTAATGACGAGCAAAAAAGTAAAATATAAAATATGACTAGTAAATCATTCT